CCCCCCCCCCCCCCCCCCCCCCCCCCCCGACGTTTTTTCACGTCATCGTCACACACGCCCGCGCCGGTTTCGCAGGAGATCGAGGACCGCGCGGCGGCGCGAAAAAAGGCGCTGTCCTCGCCTGACAACAACGCCGACTCGGACCACTCCCGGGAGCGAATGGCGAATGAGTTCGATGACAAGCACTGGGTCGGCCATGACCTGGCGGACTGGATGATTAATGACGAGCTGATAGAGCTCTTGTTCAGCGCGGGGTTTCTGCACACGGAGACCCTCAAGCGGTGGGTCCAAGCTGCCACCACAGGATTGGGTTTTTGCCTCTGTGCTGGTTGGTATTTTCTAAGGCGTGCCCTTGCGGCTACGCTCCTCCGTGGCAACGTACTTTTGTCTCGCGGTACACCAGCGGTGCTGCCTTTCACACGCGGTTAAGGATGCGACGGGACATGGCGATATACCGCGCGGTATCTGCCTGCGGTTGAAAGTCCTGCTTGTTGGTTGGCGTCGTATTTTTTTGTCACCTTTGGCAGCAGCGCGTCTAGCTCGTGCCCAATTGCTGGGGTATGCCTATTTTGGACTCTAATATTTACGAGAAAATTGTCCTAGACCGTGTGCAACTATAGGTAGATTGATCAATGCGCAGTCGACACGATTGGTCGATCGTCATGACAGGGGACGTTCTATTCTGAGCCAAGCATAATCAGTGCACCAGTGGCACAGGTGCAACATCTGGTAGTCGTTTTTTTTTTTTTTCTGGCCGTGCTGGTGAAGCAGCCGCAGTCCATGCGTTGTAATCGACCGGGCCCCTTGCGACACCCTGCTTTCGCGCGCCCGACAGATCCGGAGACATCCCGCGGTATCTGGCGTGGCTCAACAAGCTGTCGAACGATCACCTCAAGCTCATCTGGGACGCGGCGAGGGAGTCCGCGCACGAGTCCATCCGGCACGCCGTGCTCCAGCTGCTGCAGGGGCTCTTCCCTCACCTGGTCAAGGAGCAGCTGGGCCTGATCAACTCGTTCGCCCGCCAGCTGCCCAAATGCGAGTTCGACGTGCGCACCCTCGTCTTATTGAGGCACCTTGCCACGGCTACCATGAAGGTTTGGAACTCTTCGGGGGGGGGGTGAGATCCTTGTGGCTGTATGAGGTTCCTGTCGATGTTGTCGGAACGTTCTGAGAACCGTTGCGCTTGGTTCAACCGTGCACCTCCGCCTATTTCCGTGCATACACCCTGAAGGTAGTAAAGATGGTGGGTTTCTTGGCATCACTCGGAGAAAAAATACAGCAGTAGAGGCCGCCACCTAAGAAGTTGGGTTAGGAGCATGCTGTCGTCTTCTCCGGGGAGAGATGACTGTTTGATGTGTAGCCAGCACCTCGACGATAACCTCGGCGTTGATCTTGAAGACACGAGAAATCAGTTGCCACGGTCGCGGGCTACTACAACCCAAAACAGGGTTCCTGTAACAAAGTGAACCGAAAACAAAAAGCCCCCCCCCCCCTCCCGCGGCTCCCGTCTCCCTATCTCCCCGCAGCTGGAGAAGGAAAGAGTCACCGAGCTCGGCACGAAAAAGACCGCGGAGCTTGAGGTGACCGCCCCAACCGACACCGCCGCTGCCGCCGCCGCAAGCGGTTGCGGCGGCGGCGGCGGCGGCGAAGAGAGCGGCTGCGCGCGGAGCGGCGTGATGAGCGGAATGGAGGTCCTGTGGGACTGCGTGCAGGATGACGCGCCTGGAGATGTCAGGTACGTCGTTTCGTGATCGGGGGGCGACGGCTATAGACAGTTTGGGGGTGGGGGCGTACTCTTGTGTTTTGCATTCGTTAGCGGTTAGACCATTGACCATTCGTCCTCGAGAGGACGGAGCATTGTTCCCACAAGACCGATCACCGATGGCCAATCGTTCCTTCCTGCTTTGGGGGTGGGGGGGTGGGTATCGGAGGAGTTGATAGCCCGGCCACAAAAGTGTTAAGGCTTTGTGATTTACTTGGTGCAAAGGGCTGTTGTGTGGTGACTGCTTGAGTCGCTGACTCGGTATAAGGGCATTCAGCGACCCTGTCCAGACTGCGTTTGGGGGGGGGGGGTATCGGAGTCAACGGCCCGGCCACACAGTGGAGTCTCTATGGGGGTCCTTGTTGTGCACGGCTGATGTGTGCTTGCGGCGGGATGACTGCGCGAGTCGCTAGCTCGTTTGGGGAAGGATGCAAGCGAATGCCCGCAAGGTTTTGTGGCCAGCTGTATAGGCACTTATCCAGAGCAGTAAAACAGCTCATCGTGCAGAATCTCTCTCTCTTTGTAAAACTGGAGGCAAGCACCGGAGAAGATTGGCCGTGTATGACCCCTGCTGTCACGACCGCTGCATCCCGAGAGGGAAGGGCGTTCGGGTCAGGAAAGGCTGGACGTGGAGAACACTGCGTACGTGACAAGAAGTCATCATCATTAGCAACGGCAATACCATAGCATCAGCAGCAGAGAACAATGTAATTGACCACCGTCTCCGTTTTTGGTTCGTTTTGCTTGGGTTTGCTACGGCCGGGGTGGGGCGTTTTTGCGCAGAGGAGCGCTGCCGCTTGCCCTCCACGAGGAAGCCTTCTCGTGCCTGCTCAACTCGGTGGGACAGCTGGGGTCCGGATTGCCTTGCTCGGTAGACCCTCGGGTCTGGCTGCTTGACGAGGTGGTGAAGTGCCTCAAGGAGCGCAAGTCGGTCGTCCAGGTGAGCTGCGTGTATTTTTTCGTTTTTTCCGCCAGCGGGAATATTAGCCCTACACGTAGACATTGGGGGACCCACGGCTTAGGATACGTTCCATACAGAACTCACTACCACATCTAGTTTCGGCGGAGACTGGGGTTCTTACTGTTTTCCTAGGGTCATGCTACGGATGATCGCTATATAGGTTTTAGTGTGAGGTTCTTAACCGAGCTCGACAATGGTCCTCGAGTTCTTAAATTTTGATATTTTGAGGCCCAATATTTTGGCTCCTGAGTTCTTATGTGGTGGCGCGTTCTGTAGTAGCAGCGTTTTTTCCCCGCTGATGAAGACGTTTTTTCATTGAGGAACCGGTCCGCGCTCGATCGGTGCTAGGTTGGTGCTGTTAGTGAGAGAAACACACACACGCCGCACATGAGACTACTTCGGAAGCTCCTACGGCGACTGGCGCCACTGCATTCTAGACAGCAAATTCCTGTCGTATATTTTGTGTTCTATACAGCTGGAGAATGAGAAAATAAGGGCGCAAAGACTCGACACGTGCCACATGTTCCGAGGAAAGCAAGTCGGTTGCCCAGTACACACGTGCTGGAACACGAGAGGAGTTGAACGTGTTGGGAAAGGCTTGGTGTTGTGATCAGCACAGGGGAAGCGGGGCCGTGTGGCTTGTGTTGAGTACCACCGCATAGGGTAGCAGGACTATGATGCTGATGATGCAGCGCGTAGTTTGCGATTAGGCATACCTCTTTGTCCCTTTCTCGGTAAGGGCAGCACCAGGGTGGAAGGAATGACGTCGTGGAGAAAGCACCAAGACTGCTCCTTCTTCGTTTGCTCCTTACACTCCTCGTCCCTTCCCCCCTCCCCACCGCACGCGACAATCGTACCATGGCCGTCCGTTCTATGTTACTGCACACTCTTGTAGGCACTGCGGGTGCTGCGAGCCCTTCTTGAATCCTTCCGGCACTTCGCCATAATGGTCGGTCAGGAGTTTGGTCCCGCCAGGCCTGGCCCCGCCGCTGCAGTCGCAGGCGCCGCGCCCGGCGTTAGCCACGATGCTGCCGGAGGCACCGCCTCGGGAAATGGGAGAGCAGAGCAGGAAGGGGGGGTTCCGCGAAAGAAAAAAGATAGAGGGGGGGAGGAGGGTGTTCCGGCAGCAGACGACGACCTGGCTGCTGCTTCTGCTGCTGCTGCCCCTGCTGCTGCTGGGGGGGAGGGGGAGTCCACGTCGCCGCCGCCGCCGTCGGAAAAGTCTAGCAGCCGGAGGGCCAGGAGGCCGCCGACCCTGGTGCCGACGAAGGGGATCGTGGTGGCGAAGGCGATGGGGGTCACGGGGCTGGCCCTCGCGGAGCTCATGCAGTACAAGGCAAGGCAGTGGTATTTGGTTTGTTGTCGTTGTTATCTTCACATTTATTTATTTTGTAGTTACCATCCAATAGACCTACCTCCTTGTGGTCCTTTCAAGCCAAGTCAACGCAGCATGGTCGTTGCTGTTGTTGTACTGCATTTCCGCTCATGCAGTTCAAGGTAACGCAGCATATTCGTTGTTGTTGTTGCCTCGGCATCGAAACCAATTCTTGTTGCCATCCAGTAGCTCGTTGTGGCTGCACTCTTTCAAGCGAAGGAAAAGAACGAAGTTTCCGTACAAGCTGAGCAGTAGACTACAAATATTGCGCGTGTTTCTATTGTGCGATCGTCTTGGCGCAATCGCCTCTCGCTGAAAACACGACACGAGTACAGCACGCATGTCGGTGCGTGTCGGCGGTGTTTGTCCTTGCGGTGGTTTTCGGCGTTAGGACTCCCCGTCTCCGTACAAGTTCGGGTGGGAGTTGTTGTTGTTGTGGTTTTCGTCTCGTCTGGGCGCCGATCTACACCGTGCGGTGTATGTTGGATACACCAGCCCGGGTCTCACAGGAGGAAGATTAACACAGGGGGGTTGTTTCTTTTGCGGACAGCAGTGTACATCGAAAACATGGCGTGGATATGGTCACGGCGGGATCTCAAGAACGTGGCAGAAAATAACAGCAGCGTATGGGTACAAACCCCATCTCGAACGTCGAGTTTTGGGATGTGATTGGAGGAGGGGGGCGTGCTCATGTTTTGCATGCCATACTTTGGTAGACCTTTGACCACGTGTCCTGGGGAGGACGGAGTACTGTTGCCGCAGGACCGATCAAAGATTGCCAATCGTTCCTGATTGTCTACGAAGGAAATGATAATCACAAAAGAACACGTTGTGCCCCCCCTTCCCCCCCCCCCCCCCCCCGGAAAATGTCCGAAGTAAGAAATTGGGTACATCGGTGTCATAGAATTTTTTTTCGGGCACCCTTGCCTATGTTGTGACCCCGGCTGGTGCGTCCAGAAATGCACCGAAAGGTGAAAAGGGCGGCCGACGTCAAGAATCAAGGGGATGACAAAAAAGAGAGAGCATTGCCGCACATGAGACACTTCAAAGAAAGGCGTTTCGGAGCCAAGAACGCCGCCCCCGCCCCCGCCCAAAACACGTAACCGACAGGTTAGGACGACAACACTCGCTCGTGAAGACATGGCCGAAGTGTGGTTTTGGCTGGTGATCATGGTGGCCGCCGTCGTGGGCATCTTCGCGCTGATCGTGCACGTGCACAGCGGCGGCGCGAGGGAGTTCGTCGGGGAGATGCGGGGTCCCAAAGCGGCAGACCCTGAAGGCGGCGACGAGGACGCGGCTACAGAAGCTGCTGCTGCTTGATGTTGCTGGAGTGGAATGCGTTGTGTACCCTCTTTTTCCTTGGGTGGGGGAGAGCGTGGAGCCAACGAACTACGTGCGTGTTGGTGTGGCCACGGCGGGGGACGGCGTGGAGAGAGCACGAAACGTTGTGTCCGGGCTCTGGGCGATGTGTTCATATTATTCGCCCTGGGGTGTTAATGCCCCCCCTGCTCGCGCTTTCGCTCACGGCCGGCTAGAAAGGCGGTTGTTGTATTCTACTTTTCTTAATTAACGATTTTTGATGTTTGCTGCATTTGCGTCGTGGTTTCGTGCAGTCTATTGTGCCGGTGGTTGATGATGTGAATGTCTTGTCTGCGTTTTGGTTGCGGCGGCGGCTGTGATGGAGGCACACCCGTGTGCTTCAACTGCCCCACCCCCCCCCCGTGTCCGCTATTAGTCTTGCTGTCAAATTCGTACGGTGCAGCTGCTGTGGGTGTGCCTTCGTGCTAAACCGCCAGAGGAGGTGGCTTTCGTCAAGGTCGTTGGTGAACGGATATGTTTAGCGTTTGCTTTTGTGTTTTTCGTCCTCGGCCACACGCACACGCGCGTGTGCGTGTGGTCTAAATAGATTTTTTTCGCCGTCCTCCCCCTCGGATCTGACACCGATGGATTTTGTTTGATTTCTGGTATATCCTGTATACACGCGCAGAGGAGCAAGGACAATCAATCTCATAGAGGGCTGGTGTTTCCTTCTTCTTTTTTTTTTGTGAAGGTGGATGCGATCGTTTGTTCTTTCTCGCGTGTTTGAGCTAACGCACGTAAGTGCATGCAGACAAGCAGTTATTTTTACACACGCGGTGGTGGTTAAGTGGTTCAAGAGCGCACGGAGGGGCAGGGGCACGCACACGCTCGCGCAC